TGTCCACCAGACGACACATCACTGGCCAAAGCAAGTGTGAAAGTTACCAGGTGAATCACACCATGGTACAAAGTGTGCAGGAAAATTACAAACAGTATCCGCATTTATCCGGCTTCTGTGATAGGTTGTTAAAATAAAAATTATGAAACACGTGAAGGTTACAAGGAAAATCCCAATGATGTGAAAATGATACAGAAGCTGCCAAAAGAAGCACAAAAAAGCTGAGTAGAGTTTGACTATCCTAAATCAAACTTGCAATATCATGTCGACCGCTATCTTCAACTATATGTGAAATATACGTGAAACATATAATTCCGCCATTTTGGTCAGAATTCACGCTTTCCAGACTGGTAATTACCGATCGACATGCCGCAAGGTGAACCGCCAAAAAGCTATATTTAAAAATTAGAATTTCTTTCGGTAGTGGGCAAACTGAGGTCAGAACAGATATATGAATCGCAGCTCAGAAGTAATGCGAGTAACCTACACAGGGGGGCTGAGAAGATCGGCCATAAGTTACGTTGGCTTGGAAGAAGTTGACAACTATGTCTATCTTACCAGAGAATGCCTGAAGTGTTACTACATTCAGCAGCACCAGTAATGTCCAATTTTCACACAGAGAGATCAGAGAGTGTTTGTAGGTTCAGTGATAATTTTTATTTAAATTCTGTTGTCATCCGTTTTGCCACGAAAACAGTGTTTAGAAAATGCTGACCTCTAAAAGGAATTAAAACGCGTGTCATTACCATTCTTAAAATGACCTAATGGTCAGTAGCCCGCTATTATTGGAGTGTAGTCAGGGATTAAGTACAACAACGTTAGTTCCTTTTGTTCCGCCTAAAGTAAATCTCGTTTGGGTGTTTCGCCTGACAGCGCATCGTCGGATGGCACACCAGACGTCGTAACTACACACCAAAATGGCGGAATGCAGAATGAATGCACACGGCGATAGCAAAACCAATCATGAAAAGTATTTTTTGTTGAACGATGATTCAAAAATATGCACAACCCTGCGCGCGTTGTTTCAAATAAAGCAAAACGCGCAAGTTTTCTTTGTTTAAATTTATCTAATAAACATTACATGTGGAAGTGGTCATTGGTTTTTTGTGTTTTACATTATTGACGCAATGCCAGAATGCAAAACACACCAAGCTGAAAATCAAGCAGAACCTCTTTACAAAAAGAGGAAACCCTCGGGCTTTGCACAAACTCAGTTTTCGTTAACGGATTTTTTCTGGACCAGTAAAACAGGTCGTTAATAACTCCGAATTATTGAAACAAAATACAAACGATATACAAGAGTTAGTTAGCGACTGACATTTTCATCATTCTGTGAAAT